TAAACTTGTATCAATAAATTCGGGAAAATATTATTTATATAATATAATAAATATGGACTCAATGCACGGTCAATATGCATTTATAATGACCCAGGGTGACAGATATTGACCAAAGATACATGGAGTATATCGACCTCGGGCTAGCGCCCTGGGTCGATATACTAAATTGTATCTTCGGTCAAATATCTGTCACCCTGGGTCATTATAAATGCATATTGACCTACATTGAGTCCATATTTGTATAATAACAAATTGATAATTCTAAAACTACTAATTTTGTTATAACAAATTATCAATTTGTTATAACAAATTAGTAGTTTGTTATAACAAATTATCAATTTACTTAAACAAATTATCAATTTGTTTAAACAAATTATCAATTTGTTATAACAAATTATCAATTTGTTATAACAAATTATTAATTATGATTAATAATTTGTTTAAACAAATTATCAATTTGTTATAACAAATTACTAATTTGTTATAAAAATAATTTGTTATAACAAATTATCAATTTGTTATAACAAATTATCAATTTGTTATAACAAATTATCAATTTGTTATAACAAATTAATAATTTGTTATAACAAATTAGTAATTTGTTATAACAAATTAATAATTTGTTATAACAAATTAGTAATTTGTTATAACAAATTAAAAAAAAATACTGCTGCGGCCCTAATACGCTTCCGTAGATTTAAGAACTGAAAATTTGCAGTGCATTTCTTATTTAATCTGATACAAAATCTTATTGTACATCTACATTTCTATTCTTATGTCGATACGATATACGTGTATCTCCGTGAGCTTGAAATGAACGGTACATGTTTCACACAGTCTGACACATCTGTTTCATATTGAAACGGAAATTGGTTTTTGTGATTTAGTTTCGTATAAAACGTTAGACCTATGTTTTCGTCTAATTTCTTAAACACTAAAAAATATTAATTTTCCAATCATTTACGTAGTTTGTAGCTGCCTACGTACTGGGACTGACTGCACTGAGGCAACACATGCCGTGTTACAGAACTCAGGATATCTCTCTGGTGACTGGCTTGTTGAGGCTTGACTGTCTTTTCTCTTGAACTGGTGGTAAGACCTGAATAAGGCACACAGTTTTGGGGGATAGGCAGTGAGGGGTCACCAATATTAGCTAATACGTAAGACCTGTATAAGGCAGTAGGTTGATGGAGAGAGAGGTGGCATACCACAGAAGTGGGGGAAGTGCCAAGATGCAGCAGTACAATTAGAGTGGCAGGGCAAGAAGAAATTCATTGCGGGAGACACCCGTTGACCACAGTTAGTGGTTGTCCAATCAAGAAGAAACCCATTGTATTTGTACATATTAGATTATAATCGTATTGGTTAACAAAAATCTGAGTTAACAGGTTAACGAACCTAAGTGTAACGCCTCGGTGATACAAAACGTGTCACCAACACCAAGCTCGGCCGCGTTGCACGTAACATTATTTGGTGGCAAGCGTCGGGATTTTGTTGACCATGGATTCGTCTAAGAAAGTGTCAGAAACTATAGAGCGAATGGAGAAGATCTTAGAAAGGATGAGAACGCCAACCAGCGACGGTGGTCAGGCAAATGCGGCAAGCCAAGAGTCTGGATATGCGACACGCAGTACTGATAAACAACCGGCCGGTATGTCAGGAGATGTGTCATTTGACGAGTACGGCGCACGGCCTAAAGTTAGATTTCCAGACGAAGGCAAACCAAGTTACACACCAATTGCTGTGGTTGACGACGTTGTGACGGGTCATCTATTCGACACGCCAAAACTACAGAGGCAGTCAACGGGGCCAGACAATGCCAAGACAGGCCATATAATCAAGCCAGCCACGTATGACGGAACCAGTTCCTGGCTTGACTACAAATCACATTTTGAGGCCTGTGCTGTTGTAAACGGGTGGACAGAGGAAAAGAAAGGTCTTTATTTAGCTGTATCACTGCGTGGCCAAGCACAGTCAGTGTTAGGTGACTTGCCAAGCGATACTGGTCAGCATTATAAGACACTGGTCAGATCCCTTGAGGAAAGGTTCTCCCCTCCTAACCAAACAGATCTGTATCGTGTTCAGCTAAAAGAACGAAGACAAAGAGCATCGGAGTCCATACCAGAGTTAGGTCAGGCCATTAGACGACTCGCCAATTTGGCCTACGCATCAGCAACTGGTGATGTGCGAGAAACTCTGGGCAAAGATGCATTCATAGATGCCCAGGAAGATGTTACAAATTGTCAGGCATTGCAAAGTTTTGTACATATGTAAATAAATTGTAAATAGTTAATCATATGCGGGACGCATATAATCTTGAGGGGAGGGTAGTGAAACGGAAATTGGTTTTTGTGATTTAGTTTCGTATAAAACGTTAGACCTATTTTTTCGTCTAATTTCTTAAACACTAAAAAATATTAATTTTCCAATCATTTACGTAGTTTGTAGCTGCCTATGTACTGGGACTGACTGCACTGAGGTAACACATGCCGTGTTACAGAACTCAGGATACCTCTCTGGTGACTGGCTTGTTGAGGCTTGACTGTCTTTTCTCTTGAACTGGTGGTAAGACCTGAATAAGGCACACAGTTTTGGGGGATAGGCAGTGAGGGGACACCAATATTAGCTAATACGTAAGACCTGTATAAGGCAGTAGGCTGATGGAGAGAGAGGTGGCATACCACAGAAGTGGGGGAAGTGCCAAGATGCAGCAGTACAATTAGAGTGGCAGGGCAAGAAGAAATTCATTGCGGGAGACACCCGTTGACCACAGTTAGTGGTTGTCCAATCAAGAAGAAACCCATTGTATTTGTACATATTAGATTATAATCGTATTGGTTAACAAAAATCTGAGTTAACAGGTTAACGAACCTAAGTGTAACGCCTAGGTGATACAAGACTTATCACAAACACCAAGCTCGGCCGCGTTGCACGTTACAATATTAAGATATTTTACTAGAAAAAGACGTAAATGGCAATCTAGCAACCATGCAAGCTTTAAGATAAATAATGATTTAACTTTTCCATCGTCAACTTCCCTTACTTATGCAGCAATATACCTTTATCTGCTGCATACAGGTTTTACATCTCTCAATTCATTCGATACGCAAGAACATGTACTATGGATGAACAATTTCCAGAAAAAGTTGATTAAACAAGAATATCAGCAGTCTCGTTTAAACTCATCATTTCGTAAGTGCAATGTTATCAAATGTTGACTGACTTTTTCATACTACTTAGTAATTGTTAAGTCATTTTACAAACTGATTTGTCAACGGATTTTCCCGTTGTTTCCAGATCATGAGATGTAGTACACAGCATTTGTCCATGTGACCGGTCGGCAGGGGATGCTCGCTCCTCCTTGGCACCCGATCTCAGCTTTTATGTTTTATATTCTAAACTTGATCGGCATCAAAATTTGTATTCTTTAATGGACTTTTGAGCTTGAATACTGTAATAGTTATCTCCATATATTTCCTTATATTTCTGGGAAAGTCGTTTTCTCTGTAGAGAAAAAGACGACGTTTTCCAATCCATTTTTCCTTAGGAGTAAAAACGACAATACCAACCCTTATTGCACTTTTGCAGGACAGAGCGAATCATATTTTCAAAAATTATATTTATACATATGAATATGCTTCAAATGAAAAGTAATTTGGAGAAGAAGACAGTGTAAACAGAGCAGAATCGCGTATTTTTGGACAAGAAGATTAATTATTGCTACGATAGTTAGTTTTATCAAACTGGAATTGTAGCAATATGAAACAAAATCAAAATCGATTTTTAACCGAGTCAGACAATATGCTTCTAGCTCTTCAGAATGAAGACAATGCTTTTTTTTAAGATGAACGAAAATTTATTTACACAAGCTGATAAACAATTCTACATCTTTTATATTATTATTAACATGTAAGTTACAGGTTTTGAGGTATTCACTTCGTATTTTGACAATCATTAAGTTAACTGAAATGACTTCATGATTTATTATTATTGATTATTATAATGACTTCAAAGGGACAGGAATAAACAATTAAAACCTATTCAATGATTAAAAAATAAAATCACATTAATTTGATAATAATGATACATGTTATCATAATAATAATCATAACAATACGCAAAGAATTTCACAGCCTTTTATTCAAAATTTTGTGATCCATTTGTCTTCAAATTGCTGACATGATGTGATAAGCGAGATCGTATAAGGAGTGTTTTATATGTAAGAGTTTATCTTGGATGGTTATCGCGGTCAATTTTCAACAGCTGGTGTTGGTTTCTTTATGAGTTTTACTGTGTGACATTGATTTGAATATTATTGATGTATTTTATTTATTATCATAAATTTATCGAAGAAATGCTGAAAGGGATTCAATGAGATTGCACAATTTTTAATTTCTATCAAGACAACGTAAATCTTATCTAAATTGATACACTTGTTAAATGAAAAATATTTACCAAATTACAGTTCTTCACACGTTTCAGTTCCTCAATGCAAAAAAATATACATGTATACATGTATGTACTTTGGGAGAGAAACGATACTAAATTAATGTTTTAAAGATAAATCTAATATTGTTTTGTATTCAAACCAGAGTTTCTAATGAATCTCGTGTGAGAGGAACATTGTATTTCGACTTCTGTTTCTTTTTATTTTTACAATTATGTACATGTATCTTGACTTAATATTTTTAAAAGTTCAGCAGTTTCGAGAGTATATCTTAATTATCAAATAAAAAGTAAAAGTGTAATAAAAACACAAAATTGAATAATAATACGAAAAACCTACTATTTGCAATTATATTTTGGTTTAAGCTTAACAGTTATAAAACAATTAATAAAACTTGACATAAGCAATAATAATTATGAATTTTATTCAATATATTACTGAGTAATACCATGAAAAAGAGCCTTTGGCTAGATGTATGTGTAATACACGCGCATTGTTGATATGAGTGTGTTTTTGTGACGGCGATTTGCAATTGTCAACGTATGTATTTATCCGCCACAGGTAAAATTATCTTTGTTTTGTCTTCATGGCAAGGTAATTTTATATATGGAACACGTGCTCTGAACGAAAAATTCTGTAAGCAAAAAATCTTAAGGAAGCAAAACTTCAGGATTATTACTATTTTATTGGATTATTTAAGAGAAATCACCATGCAAATGAGGATTTTCTTTGTGACATGATGTTAAGGTTCGTCTATTTCATTATAGTTTGTGTCGTCATATTTTTTATGCTATTTTTGTCGATAAAGTACACCGACAGAAAGAAACGAATTTACACCAGAAGGATTATAAATCCCAACAAGTTGGGCCTTGAGGACATTGACTACAAATTAACTTCTAATGACCACAACTTTTCCTACTTGATCTCCGAATCCGAGGCTTGTGAAGAAGAACATATTTTCTTGCTTGTCATCGTCTGTGTTTCCTCGGGAAATTCGGAACAGAGGCAGACGATAAGGGAAACGTGGGGATCAGTGGCGGAATATGACCCCTCTATAAAACTCATGTTTCTGTTGGGAAATCCACAAAATATAACCATTCAAACTCAAGTTGTTGTAGAAAGTGCTAAATACCATGATGTCATTCAGGAAGACTTCATCGACTCCTACAGGAATCTCTCCATTAAGTCCGTTGCTCTTTTGAAATGGGTCCACCAGTTCTGCAATGATGCCGAGTATGTTCTTAAAACAGACGATGATATGTTTATCCATATTAGAAATTTAATAACGATCTTAAAGAAGAAAAATCCTATAAATGCTGTCATAGGAAGGCGTATAAATGGAGCTACGCCTCTGAGGGACGAAAATAGTAAATGGTATACTTCTGTGAATGAGTATTCAAAACGTTACTATCCTCCTTACTGCAGTGGAACTGCATACGTGCTGTCAGGGGATGCTATTGAACCTCTTTTCAACATTACACAAAAAGTAGCTTTATTTTGGCTGGAGGACATATACATTACTGGAATCTGTCGAACTATTGCAAAGGTGGATATCCTTGATTTCCGAGAATTTACTTACCTTAAACGTGATCCTACAGCGTGTTCCTACAAATCTGCCGTATCTGGTCATAGGTACTCAGTGTCCGAAATAAGACAGATATGGACAGAAATTCAAAACAATGTACCGTGTCCAAGCTAGAGTATTATTGAGAAGGGGACAATGTAATGTTTCTCACATTTTTTTGGTTATCATTAGTACTATGATCATTAATACTGCAGCAATCAAATTTTAAATTTGTTTTTACTATTCATAATGAAAGATTATTACATGTTCTTATCATGGAAGAAAAATGGTCTTTCACACTTCTTATACAAAAATGTTTGATAACATGAAGTTTCTCTGCATATTTTTGTCACGTATTGTAACAATGATTAATTGCTTTTTTTATGTTTTTATTTTCATGCTACCTGATTCTTAAATATTCATTTTTTAAATATAAAAAAAACCCATATTTTATTTTTTTTTGGAAAAATGTTTTTGTTTTCTGAAAATCAGGCATTGAGTAACTGAAAATGCTCACAAAGATTCTAAATTTCAAAGTAAAATGATTTAACGGTGTTTCTAATCATTTTTAAATTTAATCATTTATTAAAGTAAATAAATAATTTTTCAGAACTTAGAATCATACGTAGAGGCATAAAATGAAAATTATTGAAAAAAATTCAATTTGCTTTATTTTAGACTTTTTGAATTAAATTATAAATTAAAGGATCCTTCCTGGCTGAGGATCGGATATGTTTAAAGTATTTATTCTCCCTCTCCCTTCATGTAGCTCAAATCATGAATATATGCTGCTGAGTCATTATTATGCTTGAATATTAGAACAACACAGTTACAGATTCAAATAAGACCAAGAAAAGCAGAAAAGTACGAGCTAGTTATATATTCAGTTCCATGAAAACAGCGAGGAATACAGTATTTTCCATCTATCCGTGAATCGATGACAAAATGAATGGATAAAATGTTTCAAATGATTTTCTGTTGTTCTAGCCTACTTTTTTTTTTTATCTAATTGGTGTTCAAATTTATTCTCATGTAATGTAGATTTGTTTGTTCATAGCTGTTATATTGTATAAAACTAGAAAAGAAATCCAACTTTATTTTTTTAATTCAAATTTTAGGGGTGTATATCTTCAGTGGAACTGTGCTTAGAATAAATAAGAAGTTTATTTTTTATACATGAAGATTTATTTTTATACAGTCTAGGATATGTTTGGAAATCACTGCATTTTTAGATGCACATTTGATCAGTGCAGTATTTATAATTGTAATAAAAATATTTTCTTAGGGTGATATCTTTTGGGGGGAATATGTTATTCAATTAGATGTTTGAAAATGGAGTGATTCAACGATGAAAGAACTCAGGGAGTAAAAAATTATATACTATTGAAAGAAATTACCAAATGTAGTATTGTATGTTTTAAAGACATTTGTTATCATCTTTTTACAGAAAATTCTTTTTTATTCACGTTACTTAGAAGAATTCTAAATATATTAATAAAATGTCACGATTTATATTTGTGTTACTCAGTATATTATGATAAATCATTATGATCTACTTAGATAAAATTTGAATGAACAGACACATTTTTATTTGGTAATTGTAAAAAAAAATGTTTGTATAAATTATTTGTCTGAAAATAAAAGAATATCTTTAGGGAACATCTGTAATGAGCAACTTTCCAAAATAATACATGAACATGAGAATTTTGAAAATAGACAATCAAATTACATGAAGTTCCATTCTCTCTAGACATTATTATAAATTTCTAATGCATTATGTCAGTTATTACAATAATATTAATTACTGCTTTAAAAAAAAAAAATTATGATAGAGTAACTGACATGTGCATGTATAAAATCTGGTAAAGATGAGAACAGAACTGTTTCTGTGAAGTACTAGCATACAACATTTAGATGTTACCTCTCCTCAGTACATCCGTGTTTTTATGTTACCACACCAGGACTGGTTTTACAAAGTATGTTATATATATTTATATATCAAAAATATGTTTGTTTCCACCCTTATGATCCATTTTACCTAAAACGCAATTTTCAAAGAAGGTTAAGGAATAGAGACCTATAATTGCCGTCTTTCGAGTCTGTTCAACTTCTTCCTCAAACTCTTACATTTTTTAAAAGCTGTTTCCAAATCTTCTTCTTCAGTAACTACAAATGATGGTTTTCTGTAGATTTGCTTCAAAATTGTATATATTTTTTAAAATTTGATTTAATTTTTTATACATGCAGTACATGTAGTATGTTATCTTTTAGAAGACAACGTATGATGTCCGGTAGATTTTGAGTAGTGTTTTTAGAATATTCAATTTCATTCTGGGGACAACTGACTGAAAGCCATATTTTTCCAACAAAAAATTTGTTCCAGAATTCTTTCATTCGTTTGACCTTGCATTCAATTTAGAATATGATTATCATTGTCCTGACCTATTGCATAAAGATTTTTGAATTTTTGTCCAGAGGGCATGGGAACAAAAAAGTTTCTCTTTGAGAAAAAAAAAACAAAACATGTTAATAGTACCCTTACAGTTAAAGAAGTAGATAAACTTTATTTGGAATAAAATTGGTGATATCTTCTTTTCTTCTTTTGGCTCCTCTAATTCCAAAATCTCATTGCTTTACACTTTATTACATTGTATAGGTATTTACTAGTATCTTATAGTTTTGGGAACGTTTTCGGAGAGAAAGTTTTCAGTCCGCTGTCCTTTATAACAAACCTGAGAATTCTACAACCTATTACACTTCAACAGGACATAATCATTCATATTCTAAAATTAAAAAAAAATCGTATGAATATGCTTAAATATGAGGAAGAAGAGTGTGTGATAATACATTTTTACTTTGGCAGGGGGCAATTTGTTATATATTAAAGAGGGTTGTCTTCAAACCTGGGTTTTATCTCTGGATTGAAATAATAAATGTCTGAGAGGAAAGTTGCATTTTGACTTTTATTTTGTACTAAAAGTTGTCTAAACTCTAGTGAAAGCTTATTCTAAGACACAATTGGATTATTCGAATTTCATTTATTCTTATGTCTTATATTTCAAAATCATTCCAAAAATCCTTCATGAATAAATATATCTGTGAAAAACATCGTCCCTTAAAAAATAAATGAAATTTTCATAATCATAGTGATAAATCCTAAAAGTTGAAGGAAGAAATTATTTGCTGATGTTTTATTTTAAATCAAAACTTAATGGATCACTATATACCAATATTTATATATATAAATACAGTATCAGAATCTAAAATGAGATGTATCTTCTAAAACGTTTGCAATTCATATAGATGGGTAAAACCTAGGCTGTTTCAATAGTGTAGATATAAAAAGAATGTGGTATAAAAAAATATATTTTTGCAGATTTTTCAAGTTTACAGACGATTTATTTTAATATGTTACCAATATTCTCACAAAAAAATGTTTTATTTACATTATACAGTGAAGAATTTTAATTCATAAAAATGTTAGGATTTTTCTATATTATATGATTAAATTCACTATGATATACTTAGATAAAAGTGGCATGAAAAGACAAGATTTTATTCGTAGAATGTAAAGCGTATTTAATAAATTGCTTTGACCTAATTGCTGAATTAAACAGAAAGCATTAGTGATTACCAACACCGGGTATTCAATGTACATATGCATAAAGATTTGAATTTGAATTTCCTTCTAAATCGAGTAAGTTATTGACAAACAAATTGACGAACCAAGAATATCAGCAATCTCGTTTAAATTCCTCATTTCGTAAATCCTTTGGTCAATACAATGATTTTGTCTGCAAATACAATCTAACATAAAGTCGAAAGCTGACTGACGTTTGTCAAACAAATTCTCGACGGATTTTAACGTTATTCCCGATAATGACATGCAAATACAATCTAACTTAAAGTCGAATGCTGACTGACGTTTGTCAAACAAATTCTCGACGGATTTTAACGTTATTCCCGATAATGACAAGGAGGACACGGTGGGGGTGACCGGTTGGCAGGAGATACTCACTCCTCCATGGCACCTGATCCCATCTCTGATATTAAAGAGGTCTGTGTTCGCTCTGTTCCAGAATTTTTATTGATTAATGGACTTTTGAGCTTGAATGATGTTCGTAATCTCCATATATTTCAACTTCAGAAAATTATAAATATTATAAATCTATATATTTCCATTTCTAATTTTTTTTCTCTCTGTGATAACTCTTTGAAAGTTAGGGGGAGTTTATTTCTTGATAATTCTGCCGGAATGTAAATTAGGCAGGTCGATAGTTCAGGAGCTAAGGAGGTCTAATACGCATGCAAATCTCGTGCGCATCTGTCTCTGTGACTGACGCTAAGGAGGCCAAATATGCATGTAAATCTTGTGCGGCTGCCTTTGTGTTTGACGTCAGTGGGCGAGGACTATTGAAATGGAAGTCCTCATGTAATTTAAATCTATCAATCTACATTTTTAAAGTCTAAATCTAAAATTTTATTTCACAATGAAATGGAAATATAAGGAATCACTGTCTAGTTAGTGTAGTATGCGAAGCCCTGGCATACTACACTAACTAGACAGTGATTCCTTAAATAATTTCTAGTTTGTGTCAACTATCATAACTGATATTTTTAATCATTGCATTATCTTAATGAAAACAGGAAATGAATGTAACTCCGAGGTGTACATATATTCAAATGTAAGTATATGGGTTTTCCCTCAGTTTCCAATGGAAAAGAATTCTTCTGCGTTAAAAACGAAAATATTTTAATGAAAGTTCGAAGAGGGCCAAATACTATTTTAGCTTCAGACGGTGTACTAGATTATACTAGAGTAATGCAAGCCCAGCCAGTTTTAATGCTTATCACCAATAGTGTGTCGAAACCCTGAACCAAGGAACAGCTAACGTGACACTGATAGTTCTTCATATGCACCGATATAAATGAAGCCAAACCGTACGATAGACACGTAAAGAAATGAGAATATTGGGTTCGCAAGATGCACAAAATGACGCATATGTTCAAAAGTTAAAGATATTATAGAGGATCTTTGCTGCAGTTTCTGTTAACCAAAAAATGCATAATAATTTAACATTGAGGATTAACGTTCAAAAAAAAGTATAGAGCGAGGATCCACTGATATAAGAAGAATTTACTGTACACTCATCAGATCTACAGTTATATAACTAACAACAAAACAAGTCCTCATTATGATAATTTATTCTTTTTAAACATCTAACTTAAACATATTTTTTAAAACAACAATATTGCAACTTAATTAATCAGATGTATAAGTGATACAATTTACAGCCAAACTATGCTACCTTGATTGTACCCAATGTCAGGGATATGTTGAAGTCAGTCCATGGTCCCAACAATATAATGAATAATACAAGTCTACACTCAGATACACATGTATCTTGAATCCTTTGCTATATTCTTCTTTCACAGGTTTCAATATACGTATACAATACATTACATATACAAAATATATATTAGATCTGGTCTGCAAAAATTAAACAAATCTACAAATATTTATATCTGACATGTACCAAAATAATCATATTGTCATTCTTGCAAAACGATTTTTTTTCCAATATTGGTCTGCGTATTTGTATAACGAACATTCATAATAATGAAAATTTATGAGTAAGTAATTGAAACTCACATGCTGTAGAAGTATCAAAACCGATTAACCATTTAGGTTCATAAACCCTCCACTCACTCATAAACTGTTTCTTTAATCCTTGTGATTTTCAAAAAGAAATGTATTTGTTAAGTTAAATACAAACAATAATAGCAGAGCTTGTGGGGGAAAATTGGACTGAAAAAGGCGTTTCAACTTGACAAATTTATAAAGGAATAGACAGTTATCTCTCTTATCAAAGTAATGATGAACCATTACATATCCAACATCAAAGGTAAAGAAGATCATAGATTCTATCAATTTTTCTAAATATAAGTTTTTCTAAAGCATAACATTCTAGTTTATTTTTTGACATAGCTTAATTATCATAGATTAACACAGTCACCATTGTGTCAAAAGCACCAATATTTAATTGATTAATGCAAGTAGTGTTTGCTCAAAGACTGATTGAGAAGCATTTAGATGATAAGACTGAATGTACATAATATGATTATGGATGGCAGTTGTAATTTTTATACACAAAAACTTTGTCCAATAAATATGAATTAAAAGGCAGGCCAATTTTAAATCTGATACATGTATGTAAAAAAAATATCACTCATCAAATATGATATCTACTAACAATTACTGCACATACATAACACTACAATTACAAAAGGTATAATTACTCACATATCAACACATGTAATGCTTTTATTTTATGATTGGCACATAGTAACACAAACAATTTCAAAATAAAGATGCATCCACACAACAATATTTGTTTAAACATACTGTCATAATAAGCTTTTATTTTATCTAATGAAATATGTTTCACAACAAAAAACATATATTTTATAAAATATCTCATTAGTTGACAATTAAAATATACATGTATACCTGGTATATAAACACAATGCTACTTTGTAAATACATATATATATTCTAGCCTTTATCAAATGATAGCTAGGATATTCCTGAAGAATCTTCCATAGCTATTTCTCCATCAAAAATATCCCTCCCCCCTTCCCATATATAACCTTTCTTTCATCCTTTTGAAGCCAAGCAAAAAATTCTTTGATACTCTAAACCTTTTATTCTACATACATTTAAACCTTTGGTCATAGATTGATAAAATTTTCACTTTCATTAACAATACTGTCTTCCCCATCACTGTGGCCTCTGTTGATTAATAATTGTCTTTGTTCCTCGTCACTTTTCCTCTGCCTTTTCTTTATTCTTTTCTTGAATCTTTTTAACATATCCAAGAAAGAGAATTTTCTCTCAATGGTCTCTAAATTTAAGAGAGAAATAATGATTGTTAAAATCACATTTTTTTTTCTATTTTTGTGGGTCAAATTCTCTTGGTTTGGAAAAAAATTTTGGTTCTAAAGAATTTGGCACTGTTATGTATTCAAAAATTTAAATTTTATGGAGGACATGGATTTGTGAGTTATTTCCTGTCATGAAAAGAATGAAAATTAAACCCAAACAAAGATAACTGTAAAAGTGTATTCACAATAAGCAAATATTACAAACTTCTCTTCAACAAATGTCACATGTAAAGTGAGGACTTAGTAAGTCAAACACTTAATAATTATTCGATGAATTTTCAGCACAGCACTATTTTTTCATCGCTATAGAAAATATTTTATATCTCAAGATAGACTGCAGGGGTATGGATGCTTAAATCATCTATGATCGTCCAGGTCTGGCATGTAAATACAGTGTATCAATTTGCAATGTTTGTACCTAGCAGGATGAATAACTGAGAAAGCTTTAGGACACAAGGAAATATGTGTTCAAAGTGAGATAATCCATACACTATATAAACTGTAAACTTACCGTAAACGGTTGAAGTATCCCAATCATCAATGTAATCCACATACTGTAATTCGGATTGGTTGTACTGAGTCAGTTTACAGCATTTTACAGCACACAGGAGAAGTATAATGATGAAGGTCATACTCATCATCGCCCACTGTGGATCATGTGAACTGTGAAAGAAAGTATCTTCCTTTTCTCTGGTCTCTTTTAACACATTTTTGTTATTTGCAATTGTACTTTTCAATCCAGACAAATTCTCTACAAGACATGTACTGTTTTACATTCTAATTATTAATGAATTGAATGAAAGAAATACTTTCTACATTTGTCACTTACACAAGTGCTTGAGGATAGAAATCCCCCTTCCCAGTTAGACCCTCTTAGCCTTTAATTCATCTTTTTCTGACATATTTGTGAACTAATAATTTAGTTTATCTAAAATTTGATAAGGAGGAGGGGTGTCCTGCCCTCAAGCATCTTTGGCCTTTTTTAGGTCACTTACAGCTTTATGGCTAGTTCTCTCTCAATCATTTCCAATTCAGTTTCATTAAGTTTGGACCTATTCATAGAAGTTGCATTGGCTTCTCTGGGAATCCTCACAGTGGAGTTATAAGTTGTAGCACCAGTGAAATTTGAACTCTCTTTACCACTTCCTTTTTCCTTTAGTAATCTTGGTGATGTGTCATTTTCTTTTGATGATCTTTTAAAAAGTTTGTCTCTCCTCAAATAATGTAAAACTTTACTCTTAACAAAAACAATATCACAATTTGTAAGTTCTCTTTTTGACAATAGGTTAAAATAAACTTCATCTGAATAAAAATCCATGATGCAACATTCTATACTTGTTGAAAATAAATCTTTGTTATGTAATATTATTTTGGAAATTCCAATATTTTTTGATAAAGAGGGTATTTGATTTGGCTTCATGGGGAATGGCATTGTTTGAATGCTTCCACAATGTCTTATAATTTCGTGGTATCCAAGCTCTGAACAGTTCCATACTGTGAAAGAATCCTTGAACACGCTGGGTGAAATATTGCAGTGTGCAGTATCTTTAAGTAGTTGGACTGGGAAGGGTTCCTCCTTTGTTTCATATAGAACCTAAAATAACATATACATGTAAATAATGTGTACATGAAAATAGGTCTAATACAGCAATTAATGCATGATTCTTTCAGGCTTGATCACTAAAGTTATTGTACATATCATCTGTATCTACAGTATGGTGCAGAGAAATTCTAGTTTTTATGTATCCTAAGTAATTTTGCAGAATATATGGCTCAGGTGGATAACTGTATTTGGACCAAACCTTTCAGTCTGAGTCAAATCTCAGCCAAGACTGGCACAAGCACATTGTATCTTAAGATGCAGAGCAATTTCAGGTTGGACCATTTAAGACAGTGGCGGATCCAGAAGTTCATGTGGGGGGGTTTTGAGGCCCAAAGGGCCGAAGGGGGAGGGCATGGGAGGGGGTGTCCCCCTCCCATAGGTGGGGGTTCGGGCCTCCCCCGAGAAAATTTTGTTTTAAATGGAACTAATTGGTGCATTTTCCAGCATTTTGGGGGTACTTTTTGTAGCTTTTTTGAAGACCGATCATCACAAATTTTTGATAAATGTTTTAAATTTAATTAAACTTTAACACAAGACTTTAGACTTTGCTTTCAAAAATTGTTAAATCTGACAATTTTAGGAATACAAGAAGTTGACTTCAAGTTGTCTTTACTTAAAATGCATTTACAATATTAATTTAGTCGTATGTCAAGCTGACTTCCAAGATACAACTAATGTGCAAAATTTTTAAACACTAAAAAACTTTTTTGATTTTTTTTTCAGAATCCCTAACTAGACTATGTGCTTTTCAACTTACTAGAGTATATACTGTCAATATGAATTGGAATATAAACACACATACAATAAATGAAATTTCAAACTGAAGTCTCAAGAAAAAAATTACAAAAAACTGGAGAATCTGTCAAAACTAGAGTGGTTTGCTAAGCCAACCTGGTTTTTAAAAAATATATATTAATTTAATTTTTATAACGGTAAAAAAAAACCCTGATTAATAGTTTATTCATAGTTTAAAAACATGAATCAGGGACCTATATACTATATAGGTCCCTGCATGAATTTATCAGCAAAAGAATATTACTGAGCAGCACCGTAACTATGCACTTTTCTGTTGTTGGTATCTGACTACATTGTACTGTGACCTTGTGACTTCACTAGTTGCACAGACAACCCGATCTCTGTGTTGATTACCTGTGTATTGTGTGCGTTCAAGCGGAAAGTGATTTCCTGTTACGTTGTTGATGTATATTTCACAGTTGTACAAACAAAGGGTTCATGTTTATTAGAGTCTTATAACTGCAACAAAATGATAAAATAACACTTGTAAAAAAAAAATCAATGAGTGGGGGGGTTTTCCCGAACCCCCCCAAACCCCCCTGGATCCGCCATTGTAAGACATATCCCTTAAACTATAAATTATCATTCCTTTGATCAAATATGTTTGATGATACAAGTCACATGATAATGCAGCATCAAAAAAACGATTGCAGCACTGCATTTCCCGCTGAAACATTCATGCAGGCATGCATGCCTGTTGTTAAATTTGTTTATCTTAAGAATACATACAACAAATTTTCTTATATCCCACACAGAAGATCTATTTTTTCAATAGAAATGTAGTTACAAATTTTAGTTGTGTGAAGTGTTAAAATACACTCTTGGAAATGTCCACAGAAACTTTGGAGCAAGAAAACTGAATACATTTTATCAACTTAAAAAAAACATACTGAACTGTAAAGTTGCACTTTTGCACATTTTGCCAAATTATATGGATTAGCCAAACATAAAGTTGTTTAACTAAACAAATATCACTTCTACAGTTAAATAAGCACCTAATTTAGAAAAGATATCTGAATTTTGGAAGAAATAAAAAGTTTGTTTTATTTATCCTTTATCAGTTACACTTACAGTCCCGTTGAACAGCAACAGGAATAGGAATAACGATAAAGCATTCATATTTTGTACTGTCCACTTCCATTTTTCAATGAGTTTTGTCTAATAATGCATTTTCTACGCAAAAACTGTATATAAGTTAAAATTTATTTCTTTTCTGTTTACACCGGAAGCTCGTGTACATAATTTCGTAATTGTTGAATCTCGAGCTCGATAAAAAAAAAAAGAAGAACAAGAATCGAAGAAACCCAAACACTTCCAGACCAGCTTTGGATACAATGGTCTTATTTATTTAATGATATTTATAACTTTAACAATGAGAGATAGCTTTATTTAAAAATCAGTAAATTTTATTGAAACTTCTTTACGTCCCTGGAAACAAGAAACCATTCTTAACACCTCTCCTTAATAAATGAAGTCCAAGGAACTTTTCATTAGACAATTTGAAATTACTAAATTTAACCAAAATCAACAACATGAAAACATACGACTTTTAAACTGTATATACAACCAATACCCATCAAATGAATTGAAGTCCGGACTTTCTGACATCATTAACAGTTGCTTTTTCAAAAACAAAAAATCGTAGATTTTACTAAGGAGTTTTTTTTTTTGTTTGAACATATTTTATTGTATAAATACAATACAAATGGTTGGAACACAAGTTCTAACAACTTACTTGGTTCTCACCATACAACTGTCAATATATATACATAGGGAAAATAAGTGAAAAAGGAATATTGATGTACAAACATGTTTGTTAAATTGAAACATACATTTGTTACATATGATAAATATATAACTCTGTAGAGTGTAAGTGTTAGGCAGTAATAATTAATTATCTTATAAATTTTTGAACTGACTGAAAAATATATTTATTGATTTCTACATTTTGTGACTCATCTCCACTAAGGAGTTTTGTAAATTTGCAAAATTATTTTGTTAAAACATTCTGATTGTACACATAAATACTCTGAAGTTGATATTATCGATAAAAAGATGCTTGAGTTTCTGAGTGACAATATCTATGTGGTTTGCCAATCATGGTTTATTTTGGTTTATTGACAAACAATTTGAAGAAACAAGAATATCAGCAGTCTTGTTTAGAGTAATCGTTTCGTAAGCTTTATGGTCGATACAATGACCTTGTCAGCAATACAATCTATCATTAAGTCAAATGCTGACTGACGTTTTTCATACTAATTGTTAGACCATCATTGACACACTGAATTCTCGACGGGTGCTTCCGTTATTTCCTGATCATGACAAGGTCAAGGAACACACGGCTGGTGTGAATAATCGGCAGAGGATGTCCGCTCCTCCATGACACCTGATCCCAACTATGATGTTTTAGAGATCCATGCCTGCTATGCTCCAAATTTGTATTGTTTAATTGACTTTTGAGCTCGAATACTGTTCATTATCTCCACATATTTTATTTAGTGAGTACGTCCACTATACTCAATATCTATGAAACATTGAGTTCCCAGTCTTTTGTATTTAGCGAGAGAAATAATTGCCTTGTCTTTCTGAAGCATTTTTTTTTTGGCTGCATGTGTACATTTATGCATTCTTTGCAAAAATTGTATGCACAAACTTAAACACTACAACTTTTAAATCAAAGTTGGATACAATAATAACAATTACAAACTCAAAGCATAAGAGAGAGTTGCGTGGGAAGAAGGAATGGGTGTGCAAGGAGGCAGGAGGGAGGGAGTGTGTGAGGAAAGAAAAGGAGGATGTGAGGGGTGAGGGAGTATGAAGAGAGAGGGAGTGTGGAGAAAGTAGGAGAGAGTCCGATTGAGTGTGAGACCAGGAAGGGAGTAGGAGGAGAGAGGAAATATAAGGAAAGAGAGTAGGAGGTGAGAGGCAGTTTGAGGAGAGAGAATATGGGAAGAGAGAGCCAGAGTGAGTGTGAGAAGAGGAAGGTGGTAGGAGGAGAGGAGGAATATAAGGAGAGAGGGAGCAGGAGGAGAGAGAGCCAGATTGACTGTTGGGAGAAAGAGAGAGAGTGTGAGTAGGAGGTGAGAGGTAGTGTGAGGAGAGAAAGTATAGGAAGAGAGAGCGAGAGTGGGTGTGAGAAGAGGAAGGTGATAGGAGGAGAGAAGGAATATAAGGAGAGAGGGAGCAGGAGGAGAGAGAGCCAGATTGACTGTTGGGAGAAAGAGAGAGAGTGTGAGTAGGAGGTGAGAAGCAGTGTGAGGAGAGAAAGTATAGGAAGAGAGAGTGAGAGTGGGTGTGAGAAGAGGAAGGTGATAGGAGGAGAGGAAGAATATAAGGAGAGAGGGAGCAGGAGGAGAGAGAGCCAGATTGACTACGAGAATTGGGAGGGAGTGTGAAGAGATAAGGAGTAGGAGGAGAAGGGAATGTGGGTAAAGAGAGAGTATGAAGAGAGTGTGAGGAGAGAGGCAGTGTAAGGAGAGAGAGAAAGTAGGAGAGAGAGAAAGTAGGAGAGAGAGAGACAGAGGGAGTGTTAGGATAGAGAGAGTAGCAGGAGATCGAGAGGGAGTGTGAGTATGAAGAGATGAATCAGGAGGAGAGAGGAGTGTGGGGATGGAGAGAGAAGTGTGGAGAGAGACTGAGTGTGAGGACGGGAGAGAGCAGGGGAGTGTGAAGATAGGAAGGATGGAGAGAGAGGCAGTGTAATGAAAGAATTAAGGATTAGAAAGAGAGTGTTGGGAGAGTGAGAGATAGTGAGGAGATAGGGAGTGAGTAGAGAGCCAGAGTGAGAGCACATGTGGTCGCATTATCTGTTCAAAAGCTTTGAAAACCATTTACAAATGCATAAATATACCGGTATATCATTTATGTAAACAAGGTGAAATTGGTGAATTACGTACATGTAGCATAACGAAAATCTCAATAACTTTCTTTGATGTGTATGTATGTGAGAGAATGTGTGGTAATAGTGTATGTGTATGTAATCACAAACAGTTTCGATTATATGTTTATAAATATAAAGATTATAAATGTTAAGGTCAAATATTTACGATATACAATAGGAAATGTACTACCACAGAATGACACACATTTATAAAACCTTTTCCAATACTTTAAAAACCAAATGAAAGAGGTCAGTATTCTATTTATTTGTTTTCATTGGCAAGATATGTATTTAACCCCATAGATTATTAAAACGATGAAAAATCTTTTTGATAAACTTTAAATGATTTTTAAACAGATATAAAAATAAACAATATTTGTATATTGATCGTTTTGATTGACGGCTCCATTGCAGAAAAAAATCTGTAATTTTTTCAGGAGGAGGATTTGTACCGTTAATTCCAGTATATTTGAACAGACTACATTTAGATTTACAAAATTGAATAATACACAATGAAATTTTTATAGTGACACACAAATAAAACCTTTTCAACTTACTTTAAAAACCGTTTTTGTTGTTGTTTTGTTTTGTTTGTTTGTTTTTTTAAAATTATTTAACCCCATAGATAACTAAAACGATGAAAAATCAGTCAGTGATAAACTTTCTAAAAATTCATTTTTGTACGATAAACGCAAATCAGGTTTGATTGATGGTGAAGTTAGAGCTTTGTATGGGTCGTTTTGTTTCTTATTATTAATTTTTCATTTTGGGACTTTTTTGGAAAAGTGATATGTAAACTACACATCCAACTAAGGTGAAATGTTTTTAGGGTCAGTAGACATGTTATGGGAGCGGAACGAAGGTCGAATTTTGCGCGCACTTGCTTGCGAAGAGCGCGCATGCAACACGTGAATAACCAATATAATGTATAGTGCAGTAAAAAAAAATTTTTTAAAATGTTTTGAAAAAATGTAAGGATGTATTTTTTTTATAAATTTTGACGTGAATAAAAGAAAAACCATGCTGATTTACTTTATTGGCATATTAACATCTGAAACTTTTTTTTGAAAATCTTTTGAAATTTTGAACATAGCAATGCATTTTATACAAAATGATATATAGGAATTATCATGAAATCACGTGCATTTTCTGATTGGCTGAAATTTTATAGCTATAACTACCTACTGGCAAACAGATGGGAAAAAAAATATATATAAATCAAAATACTTCATACAAATGCATACACGTGCATGTACAAAGTGTTTGGTGAAATTTTAAATAGCTATAACTCCCTTGGTTTTCAACTAACAAACAGTAACTGTTTGAGAACATAGATATATATCTGGAACACATTTACAAGAATTTTTCATTCATGCAAAATTACGTATGTACGAAAATATTAATAATATGGCTGAAACTTTAAACAGCTATAACTCCCGGTTTTACAAACAGGTAGTGATTTGAATAAGATATATATATATATATAAAATAAGTAGGTATGGTCACCCTGCACATTTACACGTGCGTGAAGGTGCTGCATTGATTGGCTGAAACTTTAAACAGCTATAACTCCCTTGGTTTTCAACCAAAAGTGTGGGATTTAAAAAATAGCCAACCCAAACATAATAGGATTTTTGAAGTTGGAAACATTTTCTATGGCTCCCCTTTTTAAAAAAAAAAAGCGTTTTTTTTTATACTTTTGGATTTGTACTTTAATATTTAGCATATATAGAATATGTATGGTATTGTGCATAACATTTTTGCAAGTGTGCAATGATAAAATTTGAATGAACATGGTACACTTCTGGGTAAACGTGTTAAAGTGATCAAATGCTTTCCTTATTTAATTACGCTTACAGTATGAATATGACAGTTGGGCAACATGCGTGATGGGTAGAACATCTGGGATGTCGGTCCCCTTTTATTAACTAGTTGTATATTGATCGTTTTGATTGACGGCTCCTCACATCGAATCTGTAATTTTGATTGGACAGGAGGAAGATTTGTACTGACTCGTAGATTTGATGACCAGACTAAATGTAGATTTACAAAATTAAATAATATTGCACATGTATTTTTATAGAAATTATTTTCAACTTACTTAATTTATCGTTTTTGTTGTTATTTTGGTTTCGTTTGTTTGTTTTTTAAAATTATCCACGTAGCAAAAAAATAATAATATACCGGTAGTCTTATTCGTTAGTCTAAAAATTCATTTATGCACGATAAACGCATATCAAGTTTGATTGAGAGTGAAGTTAGAGCTTTGTATGGGCCGTTTTTATTACATTGAATGCATACTTATGTGAGGAAGAATGGAAAAGTTCTATGCAACTACATCTTCGCAAGCAAAGGGTTTTCGGTCCGCTTCACTCTGTGGGGAGTGAAACGGACCGAAAACCCTTGGCTTGCGAAGATGATGCATTTACAATATTTTCTTGTAAAAAAAAAAAATTTAAAAAGTTACATTAAAAAATACGTATTTACCTCTTTTTTTTTTAAATTTTGATATTAAGATTTAAAAGAAAAACAATGCTGATTTACTTTATGCATATTAACACCCTGAAACGTTTCCCCAAAATATCTTTTTTAATCCATCGATTTTATCAATAAAATCAATATTTTTATTTGCAGTTATTTTACCGGGTTACCTACTGGCACAGATAAAAAAAATTATAAATCAAAATACTTTTACAAATAGATAACACAGAATACAACATGTTTACGTAATAAATGGCAAACTCCCCCTGCACGACTTTGGCATGTCTTAACTAACAATGTACATGTAATTGTTACCGAGCACGCTGAGACACATGTCTCTTTGAACACATTTATCAAGAATTTTTCTTATTCTTTCAAAATTACTAGTAATGAAAATATTAATTATTCGCCTATCTGATGAGGATGGATACAAAGTGTAGGATATATAATTGGATGATATAAATATGTAAAATAGTAGGCGGCCACCCCTCCTACTTTTTTTCTGTTGAAAATGCTCATTGACTATAACAAATGGCAGTTTGTTCCGCAGTAAAGTTAAATCAGGGTTCAAAAAATTCACGCCAACCCAAACAGAATAGGATGTTTGAAGTTGGAAACATTTTTTCTCTGGCTCCCCTTTCTTTTTTATAAAAAAAGTCCCTGGTTTGTATATACACATATAAAAACTGTATAGTGTATGTATAAATTTTTGCAGTTGTAAATATGTTCTCCGACGATAGACAGAGGCCGTGTTGTGATCATCTATCTCCATTACGATCTTACACTGTATGACAATGGCAAAAATTAAGCAAATGCCTTGAAATTGGTAAAAAGACATCTGGAATGTTGATTAAGGAATGGAATTAGCGAGATGTTTTTCATACATAAATCTTATGTTATTGAAAATATTTTCTCACGCTTGATTTAGAAACGCAATTTCTTCTCTAATATAACCTTGCTATTTTTACCGTGCGCCGTAGGACCGTACCTTGTGCACATCCAAGCAGAATAAAATCTTTATTTTTGAATATATATTATCAAAAACATTATGATTCACTTAAATATGATGAATAAACATTTACTGAAAATTTCAGCTTAGTGCGCCCATTACTTTTAGAGAAAAACGCTTTGTCCACGATTTTATGGGACAACCCTCGTATAAAGATGCTTTAGATATATGTACAGTACAACAGACATAAGGGCATGTGATAAAATGATATTTTATTAAAATACATTCTACTTTTCAATAAATCCGTTGATCCGCTCACATACGATCGTTACACAATATGTATCGATCGCATGTGAGCTGATCAAAGGATCTACTTTTAATCAGATTGTACATTGCTGAAAGAAAACAAATATTACAATTTGATTTTTTTTTCTCTATTAAGATATTAAAAGGAAGTTTTTTAAAATTCATTTTCGCTGATGAGCAATCAGATATATTACACCTGTAAAATATAGCTGCATTTAACTGGTATTATCTGACTTAACACGAATGTGTCACAATGCAGGTTGTATCATCGTGTCTTTGTTCTCAAATGATTTTTTTTGGCACTGTTGCAATATTAAAACCAAGTTAAATAAGAACTTTACAGTATTTTTGACGACTGATTCAATAGATCGGGTGTGCGTACTGCACTTGTTGAACTTGACTGAACAGCTGTTAAGTGTAAAGTGCAGACAATTAAAGAGCATAAAAAAATAAACAAGTTAATCATCATTTAATCAATATTTATATAGACAATAGTACAAAATTGGTAAAATCTCAAAATAAAAGAAAATTAAACAAAATATGTCTCTCGATATAAATACTGTCTTTGACCCTGTCTTTCTGCACCAAATTCTGTCATGACGGGGGTGGAAGGGGGGGGGGGTGAGATCTGAGTGTACTTGGAATGAATTATGCGTATTGTGTATTGACGAATTTAAAATTCTATTGCTTCTATATAATTTTTCATGTATACATTTAAATATAAAAATTATGTTATCCAAAATTAAACATGGAAGGAAGTAAAAATACTTAAGTTTCTTTAAATGTTTTCATAATAGTAGTTTCAATTTCAATACGCTTTACCTATATATAGCTGATTGTAAAAGTCATGACAATACTTCGTTTAAGTCTTGCGTCATTCCATTTTACTGTATTCATAATAGCATCAAGCCTCATAAAGTATTTATAAAAAGAATTCAATAACCACACAAAAAAAGTTTGAATGACATTTAAGCATTGATAATTTTGCAAAGAATCACGGCGTAAAACATTTAGTCGTCAAAATGGCCATGGCAATTGGGAAAAATACAAATGTTATGAATGTACATGGAAACACATATCTTTATTAGAGACAATGCTTAGCACAATGTAACATAATACAGACACCATCAATAAGTACTCCATCACATATACAAAAATAGTAGAAAATGTTATTACAATTAAAATCAAATATCTGATTTACACACAGTTTTACCGGTATTTCCGAACTTGAGATCAATGGGAAATCTTCAAAAAAGTCAGGATATATTCACTAAGACATGACTGTCGAAGATCATCGATTAAAACTTAAAAATGACTATGCATGTACAAAATGACAAACTGGCTTTAATTAAAGTCATGTCAATGATTTGATAAATATTTACAATGAATGTCATAAAATCAGAACAAAATATATTATTGATGTATATAAGCAAACATATACAAGACGTAATGCTTTTATAAAGCAACAATGAGGGATAGAGCACAGCTTTGCTGGCATTGTTAGCTACCCCTTAGCAACAGTGTATCCAACGCGCTAATTTCACTGCAACATGGAATCGTCTCCGCGATTTTTCCCGACCTGTCCATATCGCATAAACTTACTGGAGTTACGTAAGCCCCTGTAAATAGACCAAATGCATGCTTCCTGTTGGAAAAAAGGTAAAAATCAATGGGGGACCGTGCTGTGACTCATCCTACAAGTTCCAGAAAAATCTTTCATCTCACTTAATTTTTTCCTTTCTTGAAAATCGTCATCATTATTTATTCGTTTGATAACATCGGACTTATTATCGTCTCTAGCTGTCCGCTGTTCAGCAATATGACACACAGAGTGTTAATATTTATCTCGTTATTGTTTGTATTTCTCTCTCTGGTCCGTGAATTTTAAATTATCGGAAAATCTCCCTGAAGTTCGTTATAGCGATTTCCTCATAAAAGTCGAAACATGAGGAAATGTACATCTGAAAATATCAAAATTAATTTATTATCTAACTGCGAGTAAGAAGCTATAAATTATTTGTGAAAGATTTTTTAAAACATAATTTTGAAAAGTATTGCATAATAGTCCATGCATATTTAGGTAAGTTATATAATTATATATATGCATGATTTCATTATGTAGTTATATTGTATTATTGTATATATTTAAAGACAAGTTAAAAGTAAAATTTCCAAATTATAAATAGCTTTTTTTGATAAAATATAAATAACTCTTGTCATATGGCGTGGTGTTTTTAAATACTTCCGTAATATTGAGAAAGCAGCGAGTAAACATTTAAATAAAACTACATGTGTACTTTTGTTCTTAAAGCATCAACGCAAGTTCATATACAAAGAATTAATTTATTTTCTATAAGGGACACTAATGGCTAAATCCATGCAATTCAGATTTAGCAAAAATATGAATCTTTTAGAAATACTGTAACCAAGTACATCATGCAAAATTTAAAATATATATAACAACACAAATTAAAAAAAAAAGACAAATGAAATAAAAACAAAAACAAAAATCTAAATGAGAAAAAATATATCATGCTTTAAGTTATATAATTCTCCTTAGGGAGGTTTGAAAACTAGGTTCTTCTATTAAAAATGTCACCTTTAAAAGGAATAAAAAAAAATCTTTATATTTCTTTTGAAAAAAACATTTGATGAGAGAGAGAGAGAAGAAGAAGAAGAAGAAAAAGAAAAAAATATATACCTTTAGTACATGAACAAACTTATCCGATACACTATAGCCATGATTTTTATGGAGACAGTGCAAATATCGGACAGAAAGTCTGGCGGAATAACAAGCATACGGACATTTTTCATGAAGGCGTAAGTTTCATTCATTTCATCTCCTATTAAACGACACAATCTCCCGACTTGTTGTGCATTGTTCTTTAGTTCTTCATCCATATCAATATTCGGACAATCTCTCACTCCATGGTCAACTTCACTGGTATGTCGTTTTCTTTTTCGGACATTTGTCTGGGATTGGAGCATCTTTTCTTCACCTGTTTGTTTTATTTTCTATCTGGTTACTGGATGTTCCAGCTACATATATTTATGTACATTTTTTTTCTCTCATAACATGTGCGCATAATATATTATTCCCAAAACATTATTTGCATATCAAAATAAACATTGAAACCACGTGGTACTTACCACGTGCTATGGAATCTATAGCTGGTATCTAGGTCATTGATTTGTCTAAATATAAAGATATCGTCACCCTCAATATCATCCCTCATTAAGTTCTTAAAGAAATATATAATCATTAGATTTTCAATATTTGGGCAGAATATGGATGATTATGTATATATCTTTTTTTTTATTAATTGAATTTTGAATTTAGGCCTTTAATATTTTTTTTCCTATCAAAATTAAACGCAGTTCATGGATTAAGTAAATAAATGACCCCCATGACACGATATTGACATTTAACTTGCCAATAAGATAAAGAAAAAGATAAGGATATAGCGTGTCAATATCGGTAACTTGTGCCAACAAATAATTTGTTTAGAAATAAGAGTAAGCTATTGAAAATTTCCCCCCATGCAGATATGAAATACACAAACAATAATAATTTTGATAATAATAAAAAATATTTCTAAATCACATCACTTACGAAAGTCATTCCAGGGGCCTTGACTTTTGTTTAACCTTTTATGGAGTTACAATAATTAAAAATGAATTTAAGACATGCCATCTAATTGGGAAAAAAGTCCCACAATATTTTGTCATTTAATATGTAATTCTTTCCTCTACCCCAAAGAAAATTATTCTCCCATGTTTACCATTAAATCCTATATATCACTCCCAGGATTTGCGAAAACAAAGAAACCATAGGTACACTGTAATTGGGGTTATTTCTTTATCAGGTTCATTACGACTATCCTATTACAGTAAGGCTGACTGGAGATTGTCCTGAGTCTTGCATTATGAGTATAATTATAAATGAACATGTACAAGGATAGCGAATTCAATTTTTCTCAATATCAACATCATCGTTAATTAATAGTCAATCTGAAGTTGAAAAAGTTTGTTACGACTTATTCAGTGGCGGGTCCAGTATTAAATCTTGAAAAGGGAAACCCGACCAGTTTAGGGTCGGGGTAGGGGCCCACAACTACACCAAAAGAAAATTGATTTATTAAATCGTATGTAAATTTTGGACACAAAAGCCCCCTCCCCTCTAAATCAGTGTTATTAATCATCTGCATATTAATAATGAACAACAGTTTGATCAATATACCCACAAAAGACATTTTGCCTAATCGGTGTTGTTCATACTCTAATATAACTGCATATTTAATTGATAAATCAATTCAATGTGTGCTTTAATAACACACTCCATTGACAGGCAGAAAATCTATTTTTAAAACCAAGGTTAAAATTTTAATATTAATGATGCTTAAAAATATCATCTGCAACCAAGCCCTGAAAACTCATTGGTAATTCGATCCCATAAACACGATAATCTGCCTGATCGGGTCGTCATTTGGAGCACATTTCATTTAAAATCTTTTTTCACATGATGATTCCCCTAGTCATGACATTTAATAAGTATTTAATTTGGTCCCACCTGGAATAAAATATGAAACATTTTTTTCAAATTCTTCCTTTTAGAAAAATAGCTTTGTCATTCTTACTGACATTAAAAAGAAGCTATAGATAGGTATAAGTGTAATATTTAGTTTTTGGGACTTAATGATAATGATTCTTGCTCCCATTATAAATAGAGATAGAGATCTTGGTAACATAATATACACCTGTACTCTGTATTGGAAAAAAACCAATCACATTCTTCAAATATTTTATCATCATAGATTGGCATATTTTTTTAACATTCGGATTTTAAAAATAAAATTATTTCTTTTAGTATTTCAAGATTCTATTCCATATGAATTCATTGTGATGCTTCTTTAATTTTTAAATATGCATCTTAGTACATTTTACTTCTCTCTCTCTCTCTCTCTCGTGAGCGAAGGATTGATGAATCAATCCAAATACATGTACTTATTTGACAAAATAAGTTGTAATGCGATGTTATTTGAATTAAAAACCTTTCAGTGAATTATTCAAGAATAACAGCACACGACAGGGCCTCATCATTCAACTCAAGAAAAGTTAACCAAACATTCGGGTGAGTCATGAATTTCAGAAGCAACATTACCAGTAAGTGGGCCACGTCCGATATTTTGTGGAATTTAGCCAAAATGGAATTTTTTTTCCGTTTTTTCCCCATTATTTTTACATCATTCCCCCTATTGATTCTGATAAATATATAAGATAATGCATTAAAATTTGATGACTTTTTATAATATGTGTCACATTTCAATGTTCACATACATAAGAATTAAATTTTATTATATTTTAAAACAGAATTTTTAAATACGATTTTATTAATCCAATGCAAAAGTACTTATTCAACCAGAGACTGACTCACTTTACAAGTACGATTGTACCTCAGAAATTAAAGTCGATTTTCCCTATCAGTAAAAACTCCTCATTTACTGTGCCCGAGGAAGTTTCACTAAAAGAACTAAAAATTATAAGACCTAAAAGTGGTTATTTGTATGCTTTAATTTTTGCATTTAGAAAATTTCGAAAGGAAAAAATGGACAAAAATGAGAAAAGAACGCCATTTTGATGAAGAAATGGATCCCTTAAGGCGATATACAAAAAATGTATATATATACACTTGTGAGTGTTAAAAAGATTTTTCTCTGATCTTAATCTAATTTTTGGTGTCATAATATACACTTTCGGCGACATTCTGACAGTAATGGTTATTTACTGTAACCGTTTTCCATTATCTTATATTCCCAGCACAAACTGTCAAAGACTTGGGTTGGTCTCTAATCAAACTTTTATGCAAGAGTAGTATTTTATCCGACATAACAATATCACTGGCCCTGCTGCTCATCAATAAAACATTTTTTGCCGGATTCCGACTTGTTAAAAAGCTGTTTACATTTCCTGTTCTTAAACCCAGCCTGACAGACCAGATGTGAGTGGTTCAATCTACGATAGTTCGTCCTGTATATTTTATACACAATGTCAGTCTATAGTTGAGTAATTCCCCCTAGGTATTCTGGACAATGTTAGAGGGTTTTAAATGTAATTCGTCTTCAGTGACCGTCAGTGATCTTTTTTTTTTTTATATATCACTATTTTGAATATGACGAACAGATTTATAAGGAACAACTGAGTACAAAAATTTTATAAAGAATCATAACAACGTGGTGTACGTGTATTCATTTCACTAAACACTTGATATTTAAATGATTTATGGTTTTTATTACAAAAGCAATAAAACGTTTTTGTAGTTTTTATAAAACTCAGTTTAGCTATTTCTTGGCAATCTTATGTTATGGCAAAACGCAGTCTACGTAACAGTTACATGTACTGTAGTTTGCAAAAGCCCAGTTTAACTGTTTGCTTGTAACTTTATATCGTAAAATGCAAAATATACGCAAGTTATTGTAGTTTGGTGAAACCCGGTTGAACTGTATGCTAGTAACTTTATAATACAACAAATGCAGAGTTTACGTAAGATAACCAATAAGATAAGTAACATGCACACTGTTACCAACCAATATCAGTCATTCTGCTTACAAATTAGAGAGTTCTATTTATTTTGACATAAAAAAAACTTTCTTAAAGTAATCATATTTGTATATGCACTGTAGATATGACAACAATGAAATAACAAGATGTGTTTGTGAACACTGACGTTCCCGAATGGCAGCTTATGGTGAGGTTAAAGTTTCTCAAATGAGATTCAGACTCAAAGGTCAGAATTGTTGGTATCCAAAGAAAGGTTTCGTCATAAGTAATAAAATATAAAGGCCTCGGTACTGTTTTTAAGTGGGTCAAACCTTAAGGTCAAAAGGTCAAATTTGGTGGTACCTTAAGATAGGTCTTGTCACAAGGAATACACCTGTGATATATGAAAGCCATAGCCCCACCCACTCAAAAGTTATGGACAAAGTTAAAGTTTTTTGTGGACACACAGACAAATGGACAAGACAAAACACCATATACCCCGACTCTTTGTTAACGGGGGCATAATGAAGTAATGTATCTTAAATAAGTCGCCCAATTTAAGTTGTAGAGGTCACTAGAGGACCAGCTTAAGTTCAAAGTTTTATTGAAACCACAGTAGAACTGTAAGAGGAATAATGTTTTGGAAAAAAAATCTGCGTAAAAATTTACGTAACCATTGCAATGTTAACCGTAACATTGCTCATCGAAATTAAATTTTTAACAGTAATCAGTTTCTGACCAATAGAGCCAAAATGAGGATTCGTTGTAATTCTTTAGTATGCAGCATATATGGTTGTTGTTTTCTGTCGCAGCCATTGAACAAAGCAAAAAACTTGCTATTTTCAAAAGGATACATCATTCACCAAAATGAAAAAAAAAAAAGATAAAGAGGTTGAATCTTTTAAAAACTCGTGTGAGTAACTTTCATGATAATTTTAAACCTGGCTTACATACGGTCATAAGATTTTTTAAAAAGTACAGTCATCTGTAATGTGAGCCATAATTACATTTATGAAAAACAGTGGGTAGAGGGAGTGGGGAGGAATTAGCTAGGTGGTGGTGATTCTCTTTATACTTTCTGGGTTTAAATGTCAAAGACGAACGACCATGTAATTCTTCCGGTCAAAACTGATTAAATTAGAACAAATGATTAACTGAATTATCACCGAACTTATGTCACGATTAATCTTATCATTAGAGTGCGAACTGAAGATATAAAAACAACGTTAGACACAAAGAAACATTGGTTAAATTTAATAAAAGTCTTGTTGGCACGAAATAAAAACACACAAATGTCTAATCGACTCTGAAAATTTTCACATTTTCTTCGACAAAATGATATTTGCTGACTTGATTTACATGAAATGACCGTGAATATTCGCACTGAGAACTAAAAAATGGGTTGCTGCCTAATTCTTAATTCCGCAATTTGCAAATGATGGGAAATCGTTCGAGATTCCTCTATTTAGTTTCGGTCTCTCGGCAGCCTTTGCGGTTAATATGCCAACGGCTGAGAATCGAGTTAACGGGTATGAATCAGAAGCTGAAGATATGTCAATCATCTGAGA